GTCCGCACTTGTGGCAATGAATTTGAATATGCTTGTGGGCTCTATTCAGAGGCCCTCCATCCAAACTTGGCAAACTATTTGACTGCACTTTATTGAGCTGTGCGGCACTAACAACTGCTTTCAAAGCCACTTGCCCTCTGCTGTTCCCAAAACACCGATTAATATCCTTTTGTCACTCATAAACGCTTTGACTGACACATTTAACTTCACACTGAATGACAAATATACAATAAGCCCAGAGGTATTCAACACCTTATTCTCCACCTGTAAGTACTAAATTGTAATTACAATTGCTTGACAAATGATTCAATAAAATCTTCTGCAACAGGAAAAACTCTGTGATTCATAATTTGCATGATCCACTGATTGGGTAGACATTGTTTTGCCTTCTAAAATAATTGGACATATTTGTCATTCATCAGCAACCAAAATTGGGTTTTCTGCTGGAATATGAAATAGATATAGAAATAAAATGCCATATATAAAACGTGGTAAAGTAAATAAATGGGACATTTTTAACAAAGATAAGATTGTCTCTCTTTTAAAAAAATACTTTTTAAATAGGTTTATTTACTGGGCCATTTATGCACTGTTCAGATTTCTTATTTAGTTTTGTCAGTTTCAGTCCTCTGCACCTACTGACCATAAACCCTTTTAAAGTGGGACAACACAAAACTGACAAAAGACAATATGTCCCTGAACCATTTTAATCATGTTTTATTTTTTCTGCTGCATTAAATAGGAAATGTGTCCCTCATTACATTAGAGGATAGATTCTTTCATTTTGTGGACAAATGAGGTCTGGGTAACAAGTCCTCCATCAAAAACATAGAATGGTTCACTTGTTCATACTTCTAAAAATGGACCTGCTGTTTCCTCCCAACACCACCCCCTACACGAGGAAGCACAATAAGACAACTCTTTTTTTTAATGTAGAAAACATCCTTTCAATTGTTTCTTTGAACACAACACAAAAAGTCTTCTTAAGGAGGTAAGAAGGAGGATGGTATGATTATGTGCTGCGTAGACATGCCACTTCCTCTAGTATGCATTTAGTAGTTAAACCAGTGACAGTTTACTGAAACACTGTATTAACGCCTTTTCCAGCAAACCAAAATATATGTCATTAAATTCTACTTTCCGAGCTCCTCTTTTTTATTCTTACTTCACACGGCCCACTCATTAAGTCCGTTCTTTGACTGTTGATTGGAATTTTAACCTCTACGACCCATCTCCGTTCATCTGCATGAAGCACTGTACTTCTGTATCATGAGTCGGTCCGGATCAAACTGACTGCCCACACGGAGCACTTAAGTTGCCAGATCAATTCAATACCAATACACTTACCTCTTAAGACCAACATGTAGAGAAACGGACAGCATGAGCTGACACTTGAAAATGTTCTACTTTTCTGCGTGGGCAGGATCACCCCATTACCCCACACACGACGCTGATCTATGCTCTCCTGTGGTCCCAAGATTATCTTCGACAAAAGAGGCATTGATAAAAATGTTTGATAGAGAAGTAATTGAACAGTGAAGTACTTTGTAAAATTCAGCCTTAAAGCACTTCAGTATGAAATATTAGCCTCCTACGTGCCTTCATTTGCATGTCTCATTGTTACTAGGGCAGTCTTTGATTCATTAATAAACATATTCAATATTTTGTCACTGCTGGTTAAGTGATGAAAACTACTCATTATTACCTCTATTGTTGAATGTAATGATGCATGTATATTACAGTCAATTAACTGCACAATTAATTGCTTGATTAATAACATTCATAACATAATCCTGTGTGATTATAGTTTCTTTGTCAGAATGATTGCACTGAGATTCTATCTGTTCTTTTTTTCCAGATTGAGAAACATACCTTTGAATATTTGTTCAAAGATTTTTTGTGATCACTGTTACGCATCTGAAAAAAACATCTTAAAGAAATAGATACATTTAGAGACAGTTTACTTTATCGAAAAGTGCACAAAATCACGTGATTTCTTCAAATCGCATCATTCCCAGTTACCAGTTCCACCCACCAGAAATGGACTGATGAAATCCTGAAGCCTATCCAAGCTGAGTAAGCTGGTCTTATCAGCCATGAAAGTTGATGCAATAAATTCTGAGGTGAGCAAGCTTAAGTCAGCAATCTCATATAATTCCAGTACTTAAACTGACCACAAGTCAATTCTGCAATCAATCTAACTTAACATGGTGGGCCTGGAGAAGATGAACGGAAAATGTTGACTCAGTGTTTGAAAAATCGCCCCCCCCCAAAAAAAAAAAAAAGAAGAAGGCAACTTTTGTTGAATACCATTCAGAACTTGAGTGCTACTGCACACACAAGAACACTCCCACTGTAAAATGGTGAAGTTATTACATGTTTTTTAAGTGTCTCAATGAAGAGTGTTACTGCTTACAGAAACACTTTTCTCACTAAAAGCCACAGATTGAGACCAACTGTATTTATGCAGCTCAACATCCTACTTATTCTATTTGATTTGAATAGATTGCTGTTTACCTTACCGTTGGAAATAGCTGCTGACAGGAGTTTACAAACCTGATGTTCATGAGCTGCTGGTTTTGGAACGCGGAATCTGTGGTTGACATTTTTTTTTTGTTTGCACAGGAATGGAGCTAAATATTTTGAAAAGATCTTATGGAGAAGAATTTAAAAAAACATGGGCAGCAATCTGTGTTTGATTATATCACTGGGAACTTAGAGGTTGGACTTCCAGTGATAGAAATCAGTAGACACTGGTGGAAAACTTAGACTTCCATCCATCCATCCATCCATTATCAATACCGCTTATTCCCTGATGGGGTCACGGGGGGAACTGGAGCCTATCCCAGTGGTCAACGGGCGAGAGGCAGGGTACACCCTGGACAGTCCGCCAGTCCATCGCAGAAACTTAGACTTTTATTCATTTATTTATTTTTAGACTTAAATTTCCTTTATTGTCTCTGCACAAATTTGACAACAAGATGTTGTTGCAACCCTGAGAAAGTAAATGTTAAGGGCTGTTACCGGATCGTGTTGCTGATACCGGGTAGTCCAATAAGTGACCACAGCAATGAGCACACGACTGGTTTTGACTCTTGCAAGTGAAAAACTTCAAAGTAGGACGTGACAACATTTCATGTGTCAAATATAGAGTTGCAAAGAAGAATCTCTCCCTGTTTAAATTTCTCTGTTTTTCAAAATTGAACTCAAATTTTAACATGTGTACATTCTTTAAGAATAACATGCATTGATGATATTTGATTTTAAACATAAGTTGCCAATCTACAAAAGTTAAAAAGGGTTCTCAGTTTTGTCTCAGCATATTTTTTTCCCCTGTCATTCCACCCATGGTTGTGTTAAAAACATACTGACACATAAGACATAGCGAGAAGCATCAGAATATCACAACATTTAACTTTAGTAAATGAATGGCATTATTGTTAGTTAAATAAGTAGTGAGCAGTCACAGCTCATTTTCTCAGAATGGGTTTTTAAGCTAACCACAGGATCAGGGTTAAAAAAAAAAGTTAATCAAAAAGCATTTATGTAGGAATTTGGGACAGCTATTGTAACTTGTATTCCAAGTGAAGGAGGAAAGCTGTTAGGCAAGAGGTAAAAAAAAGGGCTTAAAAATACTCAGCTGGGTAACACATAGGGGCCGCTCTGCCAGGGCTGGTCTGCTGGGACCCAACACATTGTCAGCACCTTTTTCAGTCACTGTTCCATCAGCTCACCAATATTGAACTGGGACTTTGAGCCACAACAAATGGGCAAAGAATAGGAAATACTAATGCAAGAGAAGAGAGTCAGAGTAGTTACACTTCATGTGGCAGTTTGTTCATCCAGAACCCTAACCTTTGCACCATTCTGCCTCTCCAGTAGGGTTCAGTGCTTCATATATTTAAACTCAAACTGGATTATTTTTAAGTACCTCCAATTCTGCTTCAAATGCTCACTTTAGGCAGAGGTTGGATGAACCTTTTGATATTCTAAATGCAGTGTCCAGCAAAGAGCTTCATTTAATGGAGAAACCATGACGTCCAAAAAGAAGGAGGTTGTAAATTGTAACTGGTTCAAGACCCAAGTACCACTATTCTATGCAGAGTACATCTGTCCATTTTCTGTGTCCACTGAATCCATTTGAAGGTCACTGGGGGGGCCAGTGCCTGAGCAGCTGCCATTGGAAGAGAGGCAGGGCACGCCCTGGACAGGTCACCAGTCAATCACAGGCCTGTCACACAGACAAATGACCATGCAGGCTTTCTCACATTCACCCCTGAGGTCATTTAGGACCACAAATTAGCATGCATGTATTTTGTACCTGTAGAGAACACAAACGCACGACAAAAAGGCACAAGCCAAAATTAAAACCAGGGACCTTCTTGCCGTGGCGACTCTCACACGAGGATGCTGTACACGTGCACATGGTATAACGGAGGACAGTTATACCAGCTAAGTGTTAAAATTAACTGAACAGCACATCATAGAATGATTTACTTTGTGAGACTACATGTCTTATCTACTAAGGGATGCTCTTACAGGTTTTCTCCCCCCATTCCTCTCCCCCACGTGTTCCAAATGATACATGATAAATGTAAATGTCCATAAACTTGGGACATCTTTTCCATGAATTGTAAAATTCCTCACTTTTGACATTTTATAATAAATTCTATGTTTAATTGTGAATGAAATGTTGGTTTGTGGGAGTTGCAAATACTTGCTTCCTGTTTTCAGGTCTTACACCATCAAGGGATTTTTGGAACTGGGTTTGTACACTTCCATTATCAACACCTATGGTAGGATCCACTGCTCAATAAGAGAAAAAAATCAATGAGATGACATGAACACATGTAGGTGAAAAGAAAGCTCTTGAAGTATTAGACCTCACTTCCTGATGTCTGGTCTCTGAGGAAAAATCAAAATGGAATTACCTCTTCCCACAGTATCACCAATCTGACTCAGCAGCAACTTATTATTCTTTTCATTGGTATTGCTCTCAGGTTGGCGTTTAGAATCATCCTTTACTGCCTTTCGTGCAACAGAACTGGGCATGGCCATTGAATTCCACATAAAGTCCCAGGTTCACCTGCTATTTTCTTCCCCCTTAGCCACTCTCTGATGCACCGTCTCTTATGTTCTCTGCCCATGTGTTTTTGTACTGTTGATGGGCCGCAGAGATGCCATTAATTCCCAACACAGTGTGAGCAAGAGCAGACACAAGAGGAGAGCAGGACTGAAGCATTCACAGCCTTGCATCCCTCTGATCCCACAGCCAAAAGAAAAATACCCCCATGGGCTACAGCTCTGGCACATGTGTGTGTGATAGGGAAACAGAGAGAAATATTGTGAAAGACAGTCTGCAGCGAGCAATGGCCAAGCTCAATCACAGGTATTGTTTCAATATAAACTCCTCAGGGGGATACTGACAGTCAACTCATCAGACTTCATAAGATTGATAACAAAGACTTGTTTTTTTTTTTTAAAGTCTTTTTTTAAAAGTCTAATAAAAAAAGACAATTGAGAGTCCTTTTTTTGCCTAGTGTTTTCAAAGTTCAGGATTTGAGATTACTGACATGGTTACTCAGACATTTCACATTCGAGAGCAGGACAGTGTTCCTCAGCAAACCACTTCAGAATATGAATGGAAAAATTGCTACTCACACTAACAAAGTCAAGGAATGATACATAATGCCATGGATATGATGGACTATGTGTAACGATACTGCACACACAAAATGCTCTTTGAAAAAATGTTTATTTGAGTAAACTGTAATTACATAAAAGAAATATGTGCATGTGATTAAGCCAGTATTTGTGTAGAACAGGCTGTCTGGAAAGCTGGCCGTGATGCAATGCATTGACCAGTGGCTTGCTGCAGGGTGAAAGGACAAACTGTCTATGATAGGGGTGGCTGGTGTGACTGTTAATGCGGGTGAATACGTGCTATGCCCTGAATGGATTGGAGTGAACACCCAATGATCTTTTCAGCTGTCCTCGCCCGCGTCTGAAGGGACTTCCTATTCAAGACAACAAGTCAGTATACCAGATGGAGATACAGCTGGTCAGGAGACTATGTGATGCCCCTGTAGAATGTGGTAAGAATGGGAGGGGGTTGTGTGGGGGGTTGTTCTCTCCTCATATGTCAGAGGAAATCTAGTACTGACTATCTGTCTCCCTTCTGGCTGGGGATGGTTGGAATGGTATATATATATATATATAAATTCAGTTTATCTTACAGCTTTAACTTTAGCTAAAAAAGTCCCCTACAACCCTACAAAGTACTCATAATTTAGATGATTTGTTTCTCAAATAAAATATTTTGTGTAGGAAAGATGACCAAGATTTATTTACTAGGCATTACAGTTCACCACAGATATTCTTTCAATACCAGACCTTGCAACAGAATAGGAACAATTATTATTGGGGTGATTATTTTATAAGGCAGTGGATATGGTCTGTTGTGATTTATTTGTTATTGTGAGTGGTTGTTAATTATCGTGCATTACATGTATCAATATTATTTATTCATAAATTATATTTCCTGTTACACTCACCCAGTGGAAGCCAAACCACGGAAGTGAATGCAAGACAAAGAAGAAACCATAAAATGTTGTATAATCAAATTCAGAAAAGTTAAGTCACATAGGGTTATTATGCAAAGCAGTGACCAATTGAAAAAACACAAATCTATTTAAATCCTGCAATATAAGAATATGGACATGGCATGGACCACGTAAAAGTTGTAGCAGCTTTATGAAAGAATGCATAAATAAAGGGGTAAGCTCAGAGTGAGTAATGCTACAAAAATCAAAGAGTTAACATATGCAATCTACCCATGTGCGAAAACTAAAAAGTCTTATCCTCCTCATCCAACTAGATTTAGTGAGGACTCAACTTTTAGTTTGCCAGATATTTGCCAACTGTGTAAGCTGTCTGGTTTCATTAAGAAAGGGATGCCAACTTTTGCAAACAGACCCCGCCTTTGACATGTTTCTCACGTTCTCATAAATTTTCTTCAAATTTACATGCAATCTTCCTCAGAGTAATTTAACTCCTGTGCAGCTTTGTGTCTCTCACTATGCTGTTTGCCTGACGGGTTTGATGCAAATACTGGGAGGAACAACAATTGTAAGCCTTCTTTCTCTGCTTTTCAGTCATCTGAACCGATTTTTTTTTCTTTTTTGTTATTGTTGTTAAAGAACCTTTCTATCCCGGTGCAATCATCCAGGTTATGTTGGGTAATGTTCTCGGGTTATTCATCTGTCCTTTTTTGTCAGTGATCTATAGCCTGCTTACACAATCATTTTGGTAGCAGGTTATTTCAATATGTTTTAAAATGTTAATGTTAAATAGCTGTGTTTTGCATCGTTTTATGTTCTTGTCCATAATATATACACGTGTTCTTCATGTCTTCAACACTTTGGCACTGAATTAATCTACTATACTTCGAGTTCACCACACTAATCTCCACACAGTTATTAATACACCACATTTTTCTTTACTGAGAGCTTCCTGTAAAAAACTCTATTTGACATGTACAGACTGCAATTTAATGCATGCAATCCGCCATGGTTTTGAAAGCAGTGTATTTTAGTGGGATGTCTGTTATGTTCAGCTGGGGAGGCGGGACGATGAAGATAAATGACGTTTTGAAGCAGCTCATTACATGGTGAGCTTAATGTAGGCCATGATATTTTCCTTATTATATTCAAGAATTTCTATAAATGTAAACATGTAATATCAAAAGAAAAATCAATCTTTAATCATCGTTAAGTTGATTTAGACAGGACTGAAACTTCACGGGTCCACTCTCAAGGTATATGTGTCCTATGTGCACTATGATACTGTGTTGTCTTTGATAGCATAAAAAAACTGTGTGTATCGAACAATAGAAGAAATTCATGTAACAATTTTGTAAATGCTTATTGTCACATGCATCACCTCATAGGAAAAGACATCTGAGATTTGTGGTCATTAGCTCTCTTTAACTTTAACCATTCAGTCCAGCGGCATGGCCATTCAAGAACTCCAGTAGAAAGAAGTGCGTGAAGAAAAGACTAATTCCTGAGAAGCATTTATTATTAAGTACAGAAGCAACATCTTTGAACTTTTTGGAATGCTTCAGGGATGTTATGACAGTTCTTGGCAATGTTTAAACATGGCGAGTGATTGCCTGGGGCTGCTCTGGATCAGCTATAAATCTCATGATATTAATATCTATGATTTAATTTGTCAGCAACTTTCAGCTCATTTTTGTAGTTCTGTATTTTCTTTTTATGAATAACTGAAAATTATTCATGTTACATGTTTTTTTTTCCAACTGACTCCTTTGTAGGCTTGTTTTTCGGTCATTTAGTTGCTGTTGCTACAACAAATTTTTGTAAATAACACGCCTTCCATGTTCCCAGCAAAATACAGTTGTTATTATCTTTGTTTGTTCATTTTTACAAACTTATTATGGTGCCAGGAGAGCCAAATGTATACCAGGATGCATTTATTTAACTTAATGGCTGATTTTAACAGAAAGTTTCTACTGTTGAATTGAATTATTGTCATACAGCTTAATAAATTGACAACAGTCAGAGCTCATTGGCATTTTGACACACACACATCCCAAATCATCTTAAACAAGTATTTTACAGGAGGAAAACAAGAAGCTATCAGCTGGTACTAAAGAAACTAAACACATGTTTTATTGTGCACCTACCAACATGCAATTAAGAAAAACAGTACATAATTATGTGCATCAACTTCTGTGTCACATGGTTCTCTTTCATAATTTTAAACCTATTAAAACACATTACATTTACTTTTTATTCCATTGCTTCTCAACAAAATCACCTCAGATTTGAATCAGTAGAAAGTGGAAACGTCATATAAGACTCACTGGTCTTCAGATGGCTAACATTAAATAAAGAACACATGCTAAAGGTTTAACCTTTCATGTGTACGTGTTGTCCTTGTTGGTTCTTCAGCTTTTTTGTTTCAGCAAAATGTTTCAACATTTATTTATTTACTTAGAGACAAAGGTGTCAGAGAGCATGTCTAGGGCCAAACATGCAATAAACCTTGGGTTTATGATGGAGGTCCAGATGATGACGGGGTTTAATGGTTCCTTGGTGCAGACAAACTTTCTGGCCATCGGGGTCATTGACTTTACTGCCCCTCTCTGTACTATTAACACACTCATACAGGCTGACACCTGCCATTACAGGCTGGAAGGGGCAAAAGTACAGAAACATCTTTAGTGAGGACCAGCTGTTGCAAAAAAGTGAAAGACCTTGCTGCAGGCTACACCTACACCTTACCTTACATTAGGATGTAAATAATTTGGTTTGACAGTCATACCTTGGATCGACTGAATAAAACCCAAGAGTGGAGATTCTAATAGAGTAATTTGGAAGAGAGAGATTTGAACTGGAGACCTTAAAACGTAGAGATAAGAAGAGAGTGTTAAATAGAATGATGTCTGATTTAGTGCTTCCTGGCAGAATGAGCAGGTATGCAACTGATCACTGTTATCAGTAGATTGGCAGTTACTGTAACACAGATAATAGGAACCATAATACACTGCCCTGCAAGGGAGTGTTGCTGATGGAAACAGCTGGTTAGCAGGGAAATGATAAGACACAAAAGGATGGCAGATAATAGTCTATCCTCTATAGAGAAAAAAAAAAAGAATAGACAGAGGTAGCGGATGTAGAGGTGATGGAGAGTTTCTAATAATGTAACGTTGAATTCACAAATCACTGTTGTCCTTTAGACTGAAGATTGATCTTTCCTCACATGCCTGTAGCCCATTCTGTCATCAATATTTTCTTGAGAAGCACTCTCATCCTATGCATCTTATTATTATGACTGAACGAGTCCATTCATACAATATCCGTTTGTCTCTCTGCACCTATTGCCACCTTCTTTACACAGTAACACTCATTGGATCCCAGTGATCTCAGCCTTCCTCCTCCACCTGAATAAAGTGTTCCTCATCTATCATCCCTTCCTCACTATCGCCATCCCTCTTCCTGGGTGTAATCTATTACCAACTATATATCTAATCCCCTCTGTCTTGAATTGGCAGAGCAGATAAAAAAAAAAATAGTTGTTGTTGTCACAGGTTAAAAGAAAGAGTCTGACAATCAGCCAGAAAGCAAAGGATTAAGAATGGAAAAAAGGCAATATCCCTTTGAGGAAATATGCACACATTCACAGAGGGATGTAAAAGTATACCGGCACAGATGTATTCTGAAATTTACCATAATGCTTGACAATAGATGAAGAAGAAAATTGTGCATTTACCCATGTGCAGAAAACCTAGACAAATCTAGACAAGGGCACATTCAACCCACTGCTATATCTAATGCCCATGTGTGACTCATAACTATTTAAAGCCCATGCCACACCTACAGGCTATCTGCTACCAAACATTATAGAGAGAGAACAAGCTACTGCATACAAATCTCCTGCATAGAAATCTCTCCAATTGTCGGCAATGACTGGTAATGCTATAGAGCCAATCGTGTACAGTTAAGGTTCAAGCCAGCTGTGTGATGACTGGAAGCAGACAGATGTCAAATGGTCTTTATTTAAATGATGCAGGAAAATTGGCACATACAAACATGCAATGAATTGCCAAGGAAGTTGAGTATTTGATAAAAACTGGTTTAGCATTTGGAGATGAATCATGAATGGATGTGTGGTAGTGCTTGCATAGCAGTAGTCTATTACTGTGGGGGAAAACCCATGTTTTTTAGATTACCACTAACTTCCCGTTTGCTTATGAATGAATCAGACTTATAATTTCCAACTTACCAAAATTGACAACAAGAATAGATTCTTCTCTTAGTTAGCAGCAATGCATGATGTAGTTCACGTTGCGCAAAGCTTTGGAAAGGCAGGCAGTTTGAAACAATGGAGATGGAGCTCTGAGCATCTCTGGGAGGCAAGCCAGGGAAATGCAAAAAATCTAGAAAATTTGGCATCACAGAATGTTTGATAAAGATGTTACTTTGCATATTTTTCTTTGAATATAATAGGATACAATATAAAATTTGTACAAAATCTATAGTAAAATGACAATGTACAAACAACAATATTACCTTTTTGGTGTTGTAATAAGTTTTCAAACTGAGGGGGATAATATCGAATGGGGTGAAACAGATAAAATAACATATTTCTCTTTCGAGGATGGTGAACACGTAAAGAAGAACAGAGCACTCAAACTGAAAGGAGTCACAAGAGTTTTGGCAGGCAGCTCATCACTTCACACAACAGGCTGCGATCGCAGCTTGTTAGAGGTGTTACCAAAAACCCACCACAATCAAATTACTTTGACAAACAGCAAGGTAACACAATCAGTCCCCCAGTGGCTCAACACCTTGTTTTTATGTGGTTCTACCTTAGACATGTCTCCACCCTGCTGCTACACAGTTTGAGGCCGAAGGTGAGCAGAACCCTTTCTTTCTTATCATGATAACAACTAGCTGTTTTCAAACACCATGTTTGGAATATGTGGACAGTGTGAGCCACTCATTCACAAAGCCAGAAAAAATAAATAGTTTTGGTTAATCGACTTGATATTGGGATCCCGGTATTATTTTAGAATAATGGCTCTTTAGTCATACAGTGTACACACAGAGAATTAGGAGGGAAATAAAAAGAGACATAAAGAAAAACTTGTAATGAGAACTGCAAGGTTATCCTCAAGATTTATAGCGTGATGAGTGCATATGTGTGTGAATGTATCAGCAGCAATTCCCTGAAGTCTTTCTGTGCAGGATTGACTCCATTGTGTTGTACTCCCGGCCATGCTTGAGGTATCCTGAGCGTATCCTGTATCCTGATTGAAGCTGCCTTGGTGTAAAGAAACAGGAGTGTGGAAGAGAGGCTTCCTAAATTTGTACAAGTAAACACGCTATCATTTCCATGTGTCATTTCAAACCAAAATGAACCAGGATTGCTGTGGATCGTTAGGCTCTGCTCATTCATAGTTTGTGGATTCTGACAACATACTAAACAAAACAAGCATCCCAGTGATTGGTAAATACACAACCCCATGCTCCTGAGCACAAGATATCAATCCTATTTGGCATGGAGTCTGAAGTCTTCAATCGCTTCAAAGACCTTTGCTATCCTATTTCCTCTTGACTGTAAATTCTTCCACAGAATTTCCTTTTTGATCATGCCAGTTGCATGCTCATTGACATGCAAAATGATCTAATGTTAAAGAAGCAAAAGGAGCCCACAGATGCTGCAGTCTTATGAGGATGATTTGAATAACTTTTTTTTCTCTTCAAGTTAAAGTGATTAAAATGAGCCCTGATCCCCCCTTTTGGCTTTTCCTGACAGGGGTCTTCAGTCTTGAGTTGCATAGTAAGTTTGGCAGGAGTTTTTCCGTTGGATGCCCTTACTGATGCGAGCCTCACATCTATCTGGGCACAGACAGGAAACAGAACTCCTCAATTCTGGAAGCATTGGTTTTGGTAGGCCAAGGAAACAAGTTAACAATTGAAGAAGGAAGCCTTTGTGTTTAGTTAGCTTTTGGGTGGAACTCATGACTCAAATTTTTACCGTACTTCTACTGTGTGCTGGTAATCCTTACAACGAGGAATATTCTGAGACCCTGAGCTTGCCAACAGATCAAAGCCACACCATACTTCAGGAGCAGGCATCCTCTGAAACATTTAAAAAATAGACGTTCACTGAAAATTGCCAGTAATGTACACTAATACTTGGCCCCAAATTGGTTTAAACATGCTGCACATCAGCAAAGACAAGCGGCCCATATGTCTGTTAAGTATTTGAAATGGCCTTGATCATGTAAATATCGGTCTCCTTAGATGCATTGACATCTGATCCTTTTAGGAAGATCTTGTAGTTAATCTCTGGCACTGATTTGTGGAAGAACATTTAGAGAAAATGTTTTGCATGAGTCAGCTTGTTAAAAATATAATTCTCTCAGTTTCATTCCACGGCACACCTCGTCCATACAAGCACCTATGGCTCAGCCTAATAAGCCAGACTCTCCATGGGTCAATGTTATTAGTCAAGGCATAATGTGGACCTGAAAAACCTGCAGATTTCAATTCTATTTTGGCAGCACATTCCATTAGACTTGCACAAGCACATTCCTGCTTTGAATTGCTGATATAGTCTTGTGAAACATTTTCTTCGGTTCAAAGAAAGAATGTTTTTTTCTGAAATATAAAAACATTGTATGTAAACATTTGATTGACTTTAATTATATTTCTTACAAACATGTAGTTTGGATCAAGAATGGATGAAATAACACAAAAAATGTGCAATGGCCAGATCACAGAAAATATATTTGAGTTTGGGATGTACAGCTTAGATGTATCAGTGTTGCTTAAAACAGTTTTTTACAGTGTCAAATGTGTACATTTCTGATTTTAATGTCACTATTTTTCCAAGCTCTGTGATTGAAAGAAAAACTCCCTGAAATTTAAAGCTTTTACTAATGGGAATAGAGGTGTAAAAACAGGTCACTATGGGACTCAATTTTTATGTACCAATTTTGTAATAATTAAGCTTCTTTCCACATATGTGTATGTTCATACATAAATCAGGCAAAGGTCTATACATTCCTGCAAGACACTGAAATCTCAACAAAGAAGCAAACAAGTCAACAAACTAACGGGTCCTAGCTTTACAAAGTAGTATTTTCAATTTGAACAAAATCAGGTAAAACTTTACATAATTAGTCAGCTCTGACATTGAAATACCGGTGGTGTCAAACAGTTCAAAGCACCTCAAGTATCTTTTAACAGTTTTTCACAGGAAATATTTTTCCAAGCTTTCCAAGTCCTTGTGACTTTACCTCTCCTCTTGCATAACAAGTGTTATTCTCTGACTGAGTGCACTGCATGCATCATACACAAGGGTGAGGCATTAACTTCCCTTATTGAAAAAGTAAAAAATGGTAACCTTTTTTATCTACTAAATTTCGAGAAAACTGAACATCACAACAAATCTGCTAGGTACATTAACATTAGCTAATTTACACAAGTTGGTTAGACATGCATTTAAAAAAAAGTTAAAAAAAACATCAAGCTATAAGACTAAACTATCGGATGTAACACAAAAAAGTGGGAAAAAAGGCTATGTGAAGTCAATTACTAACATGAGGTATGAACAGACCAAATTTCTGACCAGATGTTGATGTTGGTTGTCAACAGATTATCTGTTTGGGCACAGAAATCATTGCCAAGACCGGCAACTTTCATTTTATGATGGCCTTCTCTTGCACTCCCATTGTCAAGATGTGCGGTGGACAGTGTTTATCCGGGGATGTGTCTATGTGAGTGAAATGGAGAAGTGACAAAGGAACATACCCTCTACACACATCTGCCACAACACACAGACAATAACTATGGCCATCAGGCTGTTGTCTCAAATAGACGTATGTCTCACCAAAGTTATAATGAGTGAAGGGGGAAGGAAAAGTTTAAAGCTTCTGCCATAGAAATCCTGATGCAAAGCTGAAACCCAGAAGCCAGAGGAAGATGGGATCAGATGTATACTTGAGGGATTTAATTGGCTTGTCAAGTGAAAATTCAGGACTTCAGGACTTAATAAGTCCTCATAACTGTTAGATTAGAAAATAATATGTCATATAGTCAAGTGCCATCACGACAACTCATTGAGAGGCCAGCTTGGCTTATTTTTGATCCTTAGTTCTATGTGTCTGTGTTTTTAACGATGGGTCCCTATTTTTGATCAAATTAAGTCATTCAGTAGTTCACACCATTTGGCATGTAGTGCACTTTCGTATCAACATATTGTTTATGGAATAATCCATTTAGACCCAGTCAGTATATGATATCATGACATTTGACACACGTTATAAAAACAATGATAAAGACACTTTGACGCAAGTGCTGAGTCGCATAAATGCTGTGCACAAAATTACAGAACAGATCGAATGTAGAGACAAATTTTGTTTTTCTTTCTTAGCTGTAGCTGTGCATTACTAAAAACCACAGAACATTAGGGTGAACTCGGCAGCAACGGTGATGTAAATTATAAAATGGAACCCCTGCTTATCTCAACGCTGATTAAAAGGGAAAACTGGCCCTGAATGCCATCTCCAGTCCAAAATGGGGAGAAATGAATAAATCATAGCACTTATCCCAAACAGCAGAAGGAGAAAATGAGCAATATCCTAGAAAGCTTTTATTTGTTTTCCCAGGGTAAATATGAAGAGTTGTTTATTGAACTCTAAACAGATGCTTACCTGATTGGAATTTGATGCACAGCAAATAAGTAGAATTATGGCACAGAAGACACATTGGAAAAGCAGCCTCTGACTCCACCCTGATGGGTAATTTAAAAAACACTGTAGACAGTGCATCTAAACAATACATTTACACTGCAATGTTGGCAATTTGTATAGGTATAAAGCAACTTATTCTATATTTTAAAAAAGGCAAAATGTTGCCAGAAGTATTACATTTCATATTTTCTTGCTGCATGTATATTATAGTTTATGCACAAATGGTGTTAGGTTCCAGCCATCTTTTGATACATTTTCACATCACTCTTACCTCACAATTGCAGGCTGGATGAAGTAGGCTAGTTGAAAAAGTTAATCAGCCCAGAATATAGATTGCTTTATTTTTATCTCAGTCATTTGCAGGCATGAATTGGACAAATGGCTCTTTCTGTTTCTCTAAATGATGGAATGAATCGCCCTATTTAAAATGTAGGTTATAGCCGTTGCTCTGATTAATGAAATCAAGAGACGCAGAATTAAAGGCATGCTTTCCCAGACGCAGAAAAAATATCTTTTTCTTTTCCAACCCACTGAGAGAGTAGTTTTTTGTGTTTTTTTTCTTTTTAATACGTATGAGGAGCTTCAAGAGATATCGTCCATTACAACAACTCTTTGAGGCTCAGTGATGTTAATGGTGCACTATTTATCTGTTTCAATCATCTTCAGTAACAAAATAAAAAAATGGAAACATGAGGTATAGGATCATAAGGCCTATAGTAAAGTGTGGTATGGACAAAATAAATTAATATAAAATACTTATGGTGATTGAAGAATAAAAAGCCTGGAACAAAAAGAAGAAAAACTAAAAACTAAAAAATTCCAAAACATATATATATATATATATGGGGGAATGAAAATGGGGAGTAGGTTGATTCCTACAATTTTTATACTGGATAATGATTCAGGCTACTTTACATTTCAGCTTAGTAATAAGATGGTACTAGAGGGATCATAGTTTGATGAAGAATTCAGGGTAAATATTATGTAACAGCTACAGCCTTATGCAGGAATGAATGACGACACAAAATTCAAAGTCCCAGCAGTTTCAGGAGTCGTTTTTGGGAAATAATGATAAGCTTTCATACCAAGCAAAGACTCATATTTCTCTTTGCTCTATTTTCCATTTTCATGTCTGTTATGGCAGGTGAGAACAGGAATTTCATGTGCAGATGATTAATTAGGGTAATGTTTATATTCCTCCATGACTAAAAATGATTATGTATGTCTATAACAATTACTCACTCATTAACATTTAAGAAGGGGAAACATATGTTTCTAATTATGCCTTGAATAATTTGAATGCACTTCTCTGCTTTTGGGTGTACACCTCAGGACTTCTAAGTGCCCAAATGAATATGCCTTTAAAGTTTTCTTGTAATAGATCAGTGCCTCTGATTGTGCCTGTGTTTAATCTGGGGTTAATCTGGGGTTAGATACCAACACAACAGGAATATAAAAACTTGTTTCTCGTGTCTCTCATTCATCCATCATCCAGCCATCCATCGTCTATCCAGTTTATTGATATTAGGTTTGCAGGTTCCCTTCCTCTTCCCCAGGTTCTTCATGGGAAGAGGAAGGGTACACCGTGGACAGTTGGTGCTCTAACTGGTTACTTTTCTATAGTATAACGATATAGTTTGTCACTGATCACAACATTGTCAGCTACAGAGCAGACAATATCTGTAAGGTCTGATGTACAAACAGCACGAATATGAAGTCACAACAGATCATATTTCTAAGATGTGTTGTGACTCACCACAAACTGTCACACACACACCAGCACCAACTATCAGCAATTCAACACAGTCATGCCTGCTAGGAAAGCAGGCCTGCATTGAGCCTGACCTGGTTGTCTAACCATGGTCTCCCAGCTACTTTTGTCTCTCAATGACAAAAGTGAGGTCTGGAAGACTAAATCTTCAGGGATGCCTCTGTCATGAACTTTCTATGTGTTTGAAAAAACATTTAGTTCTGTGGCAGTGTTCTGTTTTGAAGATGTGTGAGAATGCATGTGTGTACTTATGGATGTGGGGGCTCACTTGAGGGCTGACTACCTGGTGCTTGAATGATATGTTTGCAGCAGTACGGGTATTGTTTGCACATCTCCAGAGGCTTCATTACAAAAGCATTCATTTTCTTTTACTTTACAAGTTCACTGGCTCCCTGGCTTTTCTAGAATTAATTCATTTTATTTCTGTCTTGTGTCTAAGCAGCTATGTTAATCAGTCGTCCTTCATATTGGCGGCTCACATAACTTGTTGCACTTTAATGATTGTCCGCAATTCAATATTCATTCTGCGTTTCAGAAAACGTACGTACTGTACTGATGTTCACATTTAAGAAGAAGACAAAAGTGTATAGAATAGTGCACAACTCTGGTTACACGTGTTTCCTTTCTTTTGTCGACATGTGTTCTATAAACCCCTTTGCCATTAGAGCTTATAGCTCTGCAGGCCCAGCCCCACCAATTACAGCATGTTAAAGGTTGATTTCTTTTTTACTTCTCTCCACAGGGATCCTACAGAGAAGGCTTGTCTAGTTTCTCACTCTACCTAGAGTAATAATTACCTGGGATAATTACTTCCCTCTCTGAAGCAATTAATACTAGGGGCGATGGTTTGGGACTCAAGCAAGGAATGGGGTTATGCACAAACCTAGAAATCAATATATAGTTTCTATTCTTTATTAAACACTTTGAGAGCTAAAACCGTGTGACATGCAGGCCATGACATTTGTAAGTGAACTGTAAATGTGAGGCGGAAAAAAAAACAATGTAATGAGAACAGATGTTGGTGGGACAAAGTTGTGCTCCCTCTCTCTACGGATTTTTCTGCTTCTGCATGTAGTTGTGCTTGGTAGTAGAAGGTGAGGAGACTAATTAGAGAGAAAAATAATTCATCCATCCTTCTGGAAAATGTTAATCTGTGTAATTGCACATGTACAATGCACACTCACACACACACACCTGCATGTTAAATGGAACCAAAACAGTCATACACCTCTGTGAATGAGCTGCATTCAAATAAGTGGGATCAGGATCAAAACCATACATGTCTGTATCTGATCCTGCTGTGTGTAAGTGCGCATGTGATTTTGCATACGTGTACATGAGTGAATAAGCAAAGCTGATAGCTATCACATGCAGCTGGCACCCTGGGCTGAGTGCTCATACACTGGAGCCAGTCTCTCATCATGGGGTATGCAAAACATTGTGAGAGCAAAGAAAATCTGACAGCAAGAATGGTAAAAATAATTCTAAAGCTATGCATTCATTTCTAAAAGGATTTAAAACATTCACTTCCATCATAACACCTTTAATATAATGAAAAACTATTTAAAGAGGATCATTATAACCATGTGTAGTAAAGACAAAAGGATTGGACATACTTGAGATAGAGAGAGCATCATGGAGAGAGATGGCATTTAAAATGTCTACTGTGGTTATTATTGTTTGAATTATCATAGGGATGACTGTATTGTTTCATCAATAGTTAGCAAATGACAGAGAGGCAGTGCTATCATTGGAGTTAGCGAGAGACAATACCTGTAATGGTTCATTGTGTCCGTGAAAAACCCAACAAGCTCATCTTTTTTAATGTTTTGGGCTGTCAGGAACCGATAATATGCCTGTTAAATATTCATCTAATTACCATAGACGAAGAGTCTTTCTTGTGTCGCGATTTGACATTTTAAATGACATTCAGTAAATCCTCATGTCTGTTCCTTCTCTGTTCAGGTTCAAATAGATCAGAAGAAGTTTTTAATGATCCCCTGGGAAAATGAAGTTTCAGACAACGGCTGGTTATAAACTGATGAACAAATTTGTTTCTGTCTAATGAGAAAACATGTCCAACAGCAAGAAAATAATACACAGTACTGTAGATGGACACTAAAACACCATGTGTCTGAATCCAGTGTTCAAACTTCAAAACCTTGCTGTTTGTGTCAGTGCGCTGGTCAATAAGACAAAAATAAAAACATGCTATCATTATGTTATTATGTGAGCTGCAGCAGTACTAATAAGCTCGGAATCTTTTCTTTCTGTTTGGAGTTTGCATGTTTTCCCTGTGTCGGCGTGGGTTCTGTCCGGGTTCTCCGGCTTCCTCCCACAGTCCAAAAACCTGCATGTTAGGTTGATTGGACATTCCAAATTTCGCTTAGGAGTGAATGTGAGTGTGCGTGGTTGTTTGTCCTTGTATGTTTTGTGTGTGGCCCTACGATGGACTGTCCGGGGTGTACCGTGCCTCTCACCCATTGACCACTGGGGTAGTTTCCAGTTCCCCTCGAGACCCCATTAGGGAATAAGCGGTAAAGAGAATGAATGGATGGATGTTTTACCATTATAGCAGTCAACCTTCCTACATACATTAATCTGTTTTGATCTATTCTTTTTCAGTTTGAGTTGTTTTTCAGTGCAATAATGTATTTTCTGTCAGGTGGAACACTTTATTATACTATTGCTGTATAGTAATATGGTACATGCATAAGAAATGATGAATACACTTTCCTGTTGTCAGATGCACTGAATAGAATCTCAAACCACAACTTGTTTTGAGTAGTGTAAAAAATAACAAGTTGTTGCCTAATCTGATTTCTTTTCATATAATTTCATATGTATCATCAACTATTCATGATATGAATAGATTCTCACGCATTGCTTAGAGCTTAGTTATACTTGCATGGTGCTATTACTGTTGGCTCTCACTTTTTTTCTGTGCAGATGGACAAATGTGTATTACTCTAAGAAACAAAATGAACATATGTTTAGGATTATACCAGGAATCAATCCAATTGTGATAAACTGAAGGTTAGCAAATGGAATACAGAAGAGTCTCCAATAACTCATTTCAAAACAGTAGTAAATAAGTAGAGAAGAACAGGTGAAAAGCACAGACAACATTATCACTGGACTGTCTGGATTTCACTGACTTTAACTCTACCAGCTTTTGATTAAATTCGGAGCAACATTTGTCAAATCATTTTGTGTTCTGTAATTCTTTTAGAAGCTAATGGGTTGTTATTCGTTGTGCACCACCCAGTGGCTCAGAATGGCCTTGGGCTTGTAGCATGAAACGGTTCTATTATCCATCTATGCTCTGTGATCATCATACTTTATACCCCGTAAATAGCACTTGTAGTGGAAAAATCCCTTAAAACCTGCAGATTGCGACAACAATCCAATATGTGTCTCATTTGTATTCTGCTCAGTCTTATGCAACTGCAGGGTCTTTTACATCCTGACATTTCTCTCAATGGATCGCTGAGATTGTAGGTCTGTATATTTGTTGGGTTGTCAGAATTTTCTTCGTACCTGCAATTATGTTTTGTTTTGTTTTAAGAAATGAAGACCCAAAGATTATTATTAATTTCTGTATCAATAAAGAGAATTGTGTATTTTCCTTGAACAAGTGTTTCTCTCTGTTTATATACAGCGATAAACTTTAGAAGCTTTACATAAAAATAAGACACAAACTGACTTGAAAGCGTACACACCTATGGCTGTGTGTCATCTGGAAACCATAGCAAGCTTTAAAATGTTTAATATTCCATCCATTTTGACAAAAAATATATTTTCTTTCTTTTTCATAGATGGAATGTCATCTAGGTCAGTAAACTCATCTGTTAAGAAGGTTGGCAAACAATTGGTGTGCCTGTCTCGACTAGACAGCAGCTTTTCAACCAATTATGTTGCAAATACAAACATGATGGCAACAACAATGGCAGGATTACTAACATTATAAAGAAGGGAGGAAAAAGTGGAAGGAGACAAAAGATTAGGGTAAAATTGCCGATGGAACATAGACGGAGAAGAGCCCTGGCTATTGAAGACTCGATAATATCAACAGCCTGTCACATGGATTTTACTTTGAAGGAAAAGAAAAGAAAATACAAATGCAACGGACCTACTGTCATAGTGTCATTAACTGGTTAACGGAAATGTCAATAAGCGAACGATAAAACAAACTCTAGACAAAACACACTCACTCAATTTTTGTGGTACAGCTCATGGAATAGTGAAGGCAGCCAAAAGAGAAAAAGCATAAAGTCATTTCCTATTCTATTTAAGAGAAAAAAAAAGCTAAAATATTTGAGGGATGCAGCTAAGCTTTGTTTTCAAATTTAGTGTCTGATGGCCAATCAAAATTCCATTATGATACAGTTTTTCTAAATTAGTGAGATAAAAGTGCTGTATATCAGAGATTCCTTTAACATGACTCTGACAAAATAAAAAAGCAATTGTGAACCATTTTTTTAATCTTTTTGCCCATTGGTTTAAATGTTAATATACATTACTGATGGAGAGAGAAGAGGAAAGCTTTTTTCATGCCCATACTGCACTGATGAGTTATGTGATTTCTACAGTCTCATCTGTCTTCCTCTATAGTAATTTAATTATCTGTGGCCTTTATGATTTGTGATAGAAAAATGAGGAAATATTGATTTTCTTTTGACATTTTATGACACAATTAAATCTGTCCCTGGACCAAAAGTAAAATGTAGGAATACAACTTGGAATCGCTTTGGGTTGTTCAGAGGGTTTATGTGGTGCGAGAGGAGTAAAAAATGCTGATGTAATGTCTGATGACCAGCTCTGCAAATAGGCATTCTGCCAGACAGTTAAAGATGATATGTGGTTAGATCAACCTCCCTTAAAAGGTTTTTTCATACTGGCTCAGACCAGTCTCCAATTCCTCTGCTCAGATGTGTGAATGTCAGGAGGAGCAGAGTGCAGGCGCTTGCACTTTTGTTCGTTTCTCTATCGCTATCTGTCCTACTTCCATTTGGCTCAGAATGTAAACTACCTTGGTAATGCGTCCCTTTAGGTTATGTCACCAGACTTTGGCCACTTCTCTTGCTCTTTCCTTTTCCTTTGTGTTTGTGTCCTTGGTGTTGGTCCGTAACTTGAGGTGCACACTCCATGGTGAATTGTTTTCAACATCCAAATGTGTTTCAGATTTCAGAGGTAAGCTGATGCCTATATGTTCAATAGGTTACTTAATATTTTATGATCCTTTTTGAAAATCCAAACCAGCTATTCTTCATTATTTGCACTTTGCCATCTCTATATCTTTAGTTTCAGCTGGTATAATTGAACTCAAAAGCACGCTGAGTCTGCGTTTCTAGATGTTTGAGATTCTGGGCTTCATTATACTAAACTCTAGGATTAAGGTTCAACAATGAATTATATGTACTTGGCTTTGAGGGTGAAACAACAGTGAAACAATCTGAAATGATTCACTGTGATGTTAAAATGTTGTGTTCTGCTTTTCCCCATCATTCTGACGAGAGAAATTGCATTTTTTTATGTTTTGTTTTTATTTTTGTTTTTGTACCTTATCAGTCTTCAGGACAGGTCCTGAATTTAGAAAAAAAAGAGATTGGACAGCTTGCTGATTATCTTATCTTCTTGGAATCACTAGTCATCCTCACAGTACGATAACCTTCACCTATTTCAATCTACCATAAGAAGTGACAGAAAAAGCCTCTTGGATCTGAATTCCCTCCGAGCTGACTGGATGTAATGGTAACAAAAAAAAAATGTATTTAAAATAAAACCCAATAGGGAAGAAAACTGTTTAAGCTACAGAACCAGAATGTTGGTGGCTAACTCCCCAAATAAAAAAAAAACAGCACTGTGAAATTTCTCAAAAGTTTGTATTTGTTAGAAAATCCTCTCTCCATTATTATCTCTGGGAGTCTCTTCTGTTAGATGTTCTTTTCTTTTTCCACATTTGCCACAAACCTGCTATCAAATCACTTACAATTTTTCATTTACGTGTCTCTTTAGTATCGCTTATTTTTTCAAGCTATTTTTGTCCCATCTCTCAACTACCTCCCAACAGATTCAATGTGATCTTTTACATGAAACAGTGAAATTTGTCACTTTCAATATTTATTAATGGAATATTGGTTTGTGAAATGTAAAACCAATTAATTTGGAATTGAGGTCATAGCTCTACCAATCACCAACAGCAACAGAAACCTGTGTTTTGGGTATTGAAAATATCAAAAGCTGAAAGGGGATGGTAGTAATCAGAACACTCGAGGCTGCGAGCCCAAATTGTGTGAAAATGGCAGGAACATCTTTTGAAATCTTACAGTTGCTCTTCAGCCTCTGTCAGATGACCCACACTTAAAAGGGCCAATGGCCACATAGAGCCATAGGTTTCTACTTCACTAGACCCAAAGTATCGAAAAAGGTAACACTGTAAATTATGTGAATTTCAATTTAAACAAAAATCGGTTATTTTCTCTTTTATTTGAAAACTGTTTTTGTTTTAAAATGAATAATGCCTTTTTAATAATTTACAGATTGAAATATGAAGTAAGCAGGCGTGAAAAAGGTGCAAGGCTAATTCAGAAGTTTCCCTTCACTGTTTAGAAAATGTGTAATTTTTTTAAAAGACCTTTTAACATTACTTAGGATACTAATAATCAACCATGTTATGTTGAATTTTTAAATAAGATGATTTGTAAAAATAAAAGGGGAGCACAACACAATAGATGCACATATTGCACAGACAAGCTACTACACATTTTATCATGATCAAATTTTGAAATGCTTATTGTTATTAGTTTGCAATTATTTCTTATTAAAAGTCTGCTACACAAGGGTAAAGGCATTTAAATTAGGAAACATCTGCATGCCAATAAAGTCTGCATTTTAATTAAGGCTGCATCATTACTGATTAATCTGAAACTGCACACACTCTGAATGAAGCACTCCGTTTTAAAATGTGGCATTGGCTGCCTCTGAGGCCAGTCTGCTAATAGAAAAGTTAATTACATCAGAAGCATTCATGTTAATGTATGTACTTTGACAGAAGCAATATAATAAAAGGTTAGAGGAGTGTGTTCTAGTCCCCTGATACCAGACACATTTAATTGCTTTGTCCTGGGCTCCATTCTCAGAGTTGTAAAATGCATTATCATAATAATCATGAATGCCTTGCACAGAGTCTTGGTGGGATGATGCGACCAAACACTTGCTAACATGATGCATGTGAAATTAATTTGTGGATCTACCTCATATTATTATCTGTCTAGAACCACCCCTCTTTAAAGCTCAATCCTCAAAAATCTGTGAAGTCTTTGTTGTATATTAATGAGAGGATTAATCTCTTAAATGATCCCTTTATAGTATGAATCACAGTTAGACAGAAGTCTACTTTCATCATAAACTACCATTTTAAACAATCTAAAAATCATCTATATGAGAGATTAAAGGAATCCAGCACAAATACGAATTGATATCATGTGCATCATATAATCCTATCAAGTCATGTTTGATCACTGCTTAAAAGTGGACTTTTTCACTGAGCCTACTTATCTGTAATTTAGAACTAAGTTTATGTGAATTCCAGTCTTTATAAATTATTATCAATTTGATGCTCTTACTGAAAATCACAGTAAAAACGGCAGAGGTGACCATTTTTGATTGTATGATGTTGGAAGAGGAGAAGGAGGACGATTTGGTGAACATATGGGACTCATTCAACTGCTGAGCAGGGAAGCACCGTGTCCTTATTCAACAGATGCATGAAATGGACGACGAGAGGCGCTTTTTTTTTTCTCAGGATGTGAGCTGCTTGTTTCAATGCCCACTTCAAATGTTCGAACAATGCGATTGTTGTTGGACCAGAAATTAAAAAGGTTTTACTTACAATCCAAAGCTTGGACAGATGTGAAGTACATAAAGGCTTTTAATTTAAATTATTTTTCAGAAGAAATTTACTCAACAGGTTAGTCATACATTTAGAGAAGGAGTCAGTTTAGAACCTTCAAAGTAGATGTAACTTTTATTTCAGCTTTGGCACACACAACTGATGCATTTCATGTGCTGTTTATTTGCTACTTTCATACCAACATTTTGTACCTTTGCTGCCTGACTATTTCCGGCTATTTTAACTGTTCATCCTCATTTTTGAAGGCACAATCATTTTCATTGGTTTCTAAATCTGTGTAATGGCAGTGTTTTATTAAGTGTGAGAGCGATGCATTAATTTCTGCCTTTGATGGCTCAGGAACTGACACTGGTGTGAAAAAATCTAAAAAAAAATTTTCAATCACAATTTATTGATGGGTAGTAATAAAATAAAATTACAATAAAGAGATTGAGTCCACGTTCCAGGAAAAAATCTAAATGCTTTATTCCAAAATGGTGGAGAATTCTGAGATGGCCAAAAACATACAGAGGTATACGACTTAAAGTGGATTCTGCAGTGATTTTTTTAACATTGTCTGTATTTGTTTTCAGGACTTTTCCCTCTTATTTGGATACCGAGTGTGAATGAAAGAAGGATGAACATATATAGGCCCTTAAATAGAAGCTTTATATGCTGCTCTCTGGTTTATGTTGTATTGGGCTGTTGTCTGTTTACTGATGCCATGTTTGATTTGTTCATTCAAGCCAAAAGATGCCTGGCAAAAATGGTTCAACATCTTGGAGTGGGACAGAGAACAGACTGGGTTTGGCTGTGTTGGCAAATGAAGGTGAGCTTAGTAAATAGACACAATACTGATGTTCACATGTTTAAGTGGACATTTAATTCAATATCTGTGGGGTAAATATGAAAAGACAAGGCACAGTAAACAGAGTTGCAC